GGAGCCAAACGTCGGAAGTGCTCAACGAAGTTCCATCGGCCGTCGAGGACGAGTCCTAGGTACTTCAACGTCGACTCGACGCCGATGGATACCCCTCCTACCATCACTGAGGATCCCGGTGGTGGCCTGTTCCGAGGACCATGGAAGTGCATGGCCTCGGACTTGTGCAGAGCCACCTCGAGACCCAGTTGCCGGATCCTCTCAACGACTATCGCAACCCCGCGTGTCATAGTTTCCGCCGCCGCCTCGTACGACCCCCCTTGTGCCAGTACCAGCGTGTCGTCAGCGTAGCAAACTACGCTGACGCCGGTAGGGAGGTCGGCGCGCAGCACCCAGTCGTAACCGATGTTCCACAGGGGCGGCCCCAGAACCGAACCCTGTGGGACACCGCACGACATCTCTCGCCGGTTCCACTCTCCGTTTCGACCGGGGTAGATGACGGCCCTGTCCGTCAGATAGTCCCCGACTATACGACGGAGATAGGTCGGCACCCGGTGATACCGGAGTGCCTCCCTAATGCAGCTCCAGGGCATGGAGTTGAAGGCGTTGGCGATGTCGAGAGACACCGCCAAGACAACCCCCCCCCTGGCTACTGCATCCCCCGTCGTGAGGGCTCTCACGCGCATGATGGCGTCCACCGTAGAGCGCCTCTTGCGGAAACCAAACTGGTGTTCCGCAAGATCCGGCCCCGTCCCCGCAAGGTGCTCGGCGAGGCGGTTTGCAATTACTCTTTCAAAGAGCTTGCCCACCTCGTCGAGCAGCACCACGGGCCGGTATGCGGACGGAGAGTCCGCAGGGCGCCCCGGCTTCCGAATGAGGACCAGCTTCCCCGTCTTCCAACGAAGCGGGAATTGGCCTCCTCCTTTCAGCTTCCTCCACGGGGCGCCTCTCTGCGGGCGTCGGTGTCGCGGCGGCGGCGGCAGCGACAGTGACAGCGGCGGCGGCGGCGGCGGCAGTCGCGACTGCGGCGGTGGCCACAGAGGTGGTGGCGGCGGAGGGCCCTCCCCTACCCGCGGCCTTGGCCTTGGCGGGTGGCACGCAGGCCTTGCTTCCGGCCCGGTGATCGGCTGGCTTGCCGGTCGCCGCACATGCATCACAGTGCGGCGTGGCGCAGCAGGTCGCCGATATGTGTCCGGGCTGACAGCAGCGGAAGCAAAGGCCACTGCGGTCAACCTCCGAGGCGCATTTCACAGATACGTGGTGCCCCACGAGACAGCGGTAGCACCTCAGAGGTCTGGGCTCCAGCAGCTTAACCTGCGCTGAGACCCAGCCCACCAGAAGCCTTCGGCCCTCCACTATGGTTTTGGCCGCCGTAACAGGGCAGCACACCGTGGCGGCATGCATACCCTGTTGGTCCGGGCGTATGGCGCCTGACCTGACCTGGTCAGTAGTGCACCCCCCGGACCTGGCGACGGCGGCCACTAACTCCTTCTCCGATACCGAGTCGTCCAGACCCATGATGCGCAGGTCTGCGCATCTGACGGGCCTGGACACTCGGGCCTCGTCCGCGTCCAGGGACGCTCTGAGCTTCGCAGCCAGAGCGTCCGCGGTCGCGCCACTGGATTCCCCGGGGATCTCCAGCATACGGGCCCCCGTCTGGGTGACTTTGAGCCGGAGGCCCCCGGTGATCCCGAGCTCCCCGAGATCCACCGCCTCTTTCGCCTTCGCGAGCAGATCGCGGTAGGTAACGCCCTTCTTTTCCGCGTCCGGCTGTAGTGTAATCACTACAGCTGCGGTCTTCGGGGCGCGGAGCCTAGCCGCCATCTTGCGCGCCCTGAACTGGCGCTGCCGCTCCTGCTCTTTGGCCTTTTTGGCTGCCTTCTTCCCCTTATTTTTGTCCCCGACCACCTGCCAACCGGCTTCAGCCGTGGGAGGTGTAGGGAGCTGCGAGGGCGGTGGCGGCGGCGGCAGCTGGCTTGCCGCTGGCGCTGGCACATTCGCCGCAGGCACTGGGGCTGGCGCAGCCACCACCTGTGCTGCCGCTTTGCCCTTTTTTGTCTTCGCCTTGCCTCTCTTTCCCGTTGCCGGCTTAGCCGGAGCCGGTTCAGCCGGTACCGGTTTTGCCGGAGCCGGCTTTTCAGGGGGAGGAGGGGCAACTGCAGCCCCGCCCGAAGGCTGGCTGGACGGCCCCGGCCTGGATGCGGCAGCTGTAGCCGCCGCGTACGAGACCGTTGCCGGCCTCGCCGCCGTCTTGTTTGCCCCTAGGGGGGGGCGCAGGACGATGCCCTCCAGCACGGAGAACCGGTGCTGGAAGGCAGCCAGCTCCTGCCGGACCAGGTTCAGAACCTGGTTCTCCACCGGCACGGGCTGGCTTGGGCGCTGCGTCTGGGGCGCCGCGCGAGAGGCAGGCTCACGTAGACTGGCCAGGTCTGCGCGGAGCTTCTCGTTCTCCTTCTGGAGAGTCTCCATGGCGGACGTCAGGCGGGCCACTTCCGCCCGCAGCTCCGCTACCTCGTTTACATTAAGCTCGGCCCCAACAAAGTTGGCCTCCGCAGCCGCCATGATGGAGGCGGAGGCCGCGGGAATGGCCTTTAACTTTGAGGAGGCCTTTTGCTTGTGGGCCACGACCTTGATCGCGGCCTCCACCTCCTTTACGAATCTGGCCTTACGCTCCACCTCGGAGCCGCCAGTCGCATCCGTCTCTTCGCCTGATACCCGAGCCGTATCGCCCGGGTGGCGCCCCTCCTCGGCATGCTTTGCCGCTTGTTCGGCCCTCTGATTGTCAGAGGGCCCCCTCCCCTTGCCTCTCAGCCCGCCCCGCCTGTTGGTGGGGATTTTCCGGGCCGAAGTCTCCTCTTCTCCGGCTGACGACCCCTGGTCGCCATCCCGCCTGGACCGCTTGCGGAAAAACTTACTGGTCTCCGCGGTCTCTGAGCCTCCCACGCTGCTCGATGCGGCGTCGGACTCTGTCCCCGCATCGTTCCTCCTCTCCTCTACGTTGCCGTTGCCGGCGGTTTTGGTTTTTTTTTCTTTATTTTCCATATTTGTACCCACGAGTATGGGAGTAATTAAATGTCCACCTTGGCAGTGACCCCTTACCAAGGTAAGCAGATTTAGAGGATTTATTACTCGCCAGGGGGTCTGCAGGTACCCTGGCGAGGAGCGCACTATCGACTGATTTGTTCATAGAACCCCGTCAGCCATCCATCCCCTCGCGGTGCGTCGCCGCTTGAGATTCGGGGTAACTTTTTATAGAGGTTTTCTCCCTCGCGGTCCGGGCGGTTAAGCCAAGACCCTCGGTCCCAATCAAAGCCGCGAGACATGATCCACGACACTTCGATACTGGGATTACGAGACCGGCGGTGACAGCAAAGGATGAATCCTTCACTGTCTGCCCGGAGGCAGGGTAAGTGCACACCGAGCCCGCCCTCACTCCTCTGCTATGCCCTCTGCTGATCAGAGGGTCACGCAGTGGAACGCGCCGTTGGTCCGGGACGGACCCCACCCATGTCAGAATAATTAGCCGCGGCAGTAACCTTCCCCAAGGAGTAAGAATTTCTTCTCATTTCTCGAGGAAGATTACTGCCGCGCCCAGGGTGCACCGGCCCAGTAGCTGCTCTTCCCTCCAGACGTATCGAGAGGGACCCGCAACTACCAGGCACACGTGGAGGACTTCTGACTTCGCACCCCATATTGAATGACCCTGATGTACGTTAATAGATTAACGAACAATTTAGAACGTTTTTTTTTATTTTTATATATAATGATAATAATAATGTCCTCAGACCGAATTTCGGTCACGGCGGCCAGTTTCAATGTAGTCTTTTTTTTATAGGATAGGGTGACAAACGAGCACACAGTCCACCTGATGGTAAGTGGTTGCTGTGGCCCATAGACATCTACATTTATCCTAGTTTGCGAATCAAAATGCAGATGCGTTGTCACCCGTGAGGACTAAGATGGAATGCCTCTTTTCCAGTAAAAAGGGTCTCCAGTTCTCTACACTCACCATACGAAACACAGCAGTGTCAAGCTGCTATTTTACGATGGTATTCTGTGAGAGCGTGGTCCTTCCCCGGTCGAGCCGACCCATTCGTGCTACAACTATACTACTAATATAGTTGCAGTATGGCTCTACCACGTATAAACATTCGTCCATATCGTCTACATTCAGCCATCTGCGTAGGACAGGATTAGTGCCCAAATGCATGTGCGAGCAAAGGTGCACTCTCTATTCCCTCACTCGCATAGTCCGATGGTACAGTAATCCGACACGACCGACCGCAGCGAGCAGGAACAACAGCTTTACGTGCTTCCCGATGCACGGAGCTGAAACACCGCTAGCTTCCTGACTCTGAGCTCCACTGCTGAGAATTACTTGACACCAAAACCCAGTAACTGATTTTGGTCCGACCGGGGATGTGAACCCGGGACCTCGTGATCGACCATCGGTCACGAGCACTAGACTCACGAGGTAATGATTAATATTAGAAGGTTAATTGGAAGGAATAATAAAAGGTTTATTAGTGTCTGTATTTTACAAGTAATATGTACGTACTTAGTACATAATAACGCAATGGTATTTTAAGGGTGCTTTTCCACTAGAGATGTGCTATGCTACGTTGCTATAGATGCGTTTGATATTCACCAATCATATTCATTGGTCCACATAGCTTAGCACTGGTGGAAACAGTTTCAACTAAGCTATGTTTTTTATATGGATGGATGCGTACTCTGGATGCGTGCTATGGATGGTCGCGAGTGGTGTAGCTATGTGCAGCTCACCGTGCCTTCCCTACTGTCGAGACATCGCATAGCTCGAGCTGCGCATCTTCCTCGCACAGCTGCAACTCGGCGGTGCATCTTCATAGCACATCTTACTCGCCTCGCTAAATAGTTTAGCATCAGTGGAAACGGTCACATAGTTTCATAGCTTAGCTTTCACATCCTCGCAGCATAGCCGCATAGCACATCTCTGGTGGAAAAGCACCCTAAGACTTTTTATATCACTCAATGAAGCATGAGCTGTGCAGGAATAAAGTCAATAAGTACACTTTATTGAAGGAATAAGATTTATTTATATCAAATACAATTAAACAAGTTACAAATATATCTATAAATGCGATATTTCAATATCAAAATGTGTATAGGAATACAAAAGTAGGTACGTAAACAAATATTTAGTTGGTAACATCGTAATATATCGATTTTCAAAAATACGCCTATATAATATACATACATGATAGATTTTATTTTTCACTATCGATATTCGGTTAAATCTAATATATCAAAATTAATGTTTCTTTGTTCGTTCGTATTTTATGCGCTGTCACACCGTTCATCAGGTTGCGTTAACACTTTGTCAACTTATTGTTTGCATGCGCGAGGGTTATAGGGCAGGCATAGTACAATTAACTTACAGTAGGTGGCGCGCGTATCGTACCGACAAATTTGATTGACAGTTCTAATATATCATTCAATTTCAATTACTGTACTATCATAGCCAATCAAACAATACAACCCTTTCAAATTTAAAACGATATTTCCACAATTATTTGTTTTGCGGCAGTAATGTGGCGGGTACAAGCTAATATACAATTCAACGTATATAGTAAGTTATTTTTCAAAGAGTAGGCAAATTTTAAACTTAAGTTCCTATATATATATATAGACGTACCGTTATTGCAGTTTTTGAAAATACGAGTAAATAAGACTTCAACTTTTATTTGAAATTGTCCCAAATTGAATGTGATTTATGGCCAACAACGTTTATGGCTACTGATCAACACTTGCGAGTGTGTGCGTGCGCAGTAAAATCAGTTAAAATAATGCATTGCCACACATTTTGAACTTAAAAGATAAAAAGGATAGAATGATTGAGATTTTTTTAATTAATTTTTCTTCACCATTTGCCTATATTACTTATTCTGAACCTTCTCTACAAATATGGCCGGTTATTGTAAAATAACCCTGTATGTATAAAATGAATTTTAGGATAAGTTTCAATGTAATAAAGCACATGTCGCCACAATAAACATAATCTTTGGTGTGATTGTTTTTTTATAGAATAAAAGTGACAAACGAGCACACAGCCCACCGGATGGAAGGTGAATGCTGTAGCCCATAGACATCTACATTTATTCTGCATTAAGAATCAAAATGCATATATGTTGTCAACCGTGAGGACTAAGATCGAAAGCCTCGTTTCCAGTATAAAGGGTCTCCGGTTCTCTACATTCACCATACGAAACACAACAGCATTAAGCAGCTATTTTACGCTGGTATTCTGTGAGAGCGTGGTTCTTCCCCGGTGGAGCCGACCCATTCGTGCTACAACCATAATATAGCTGCAGCGTGGCTCTACCACATACATTAAGATTGTCTTAATTACGGTCAGGTTTTTAGTAATTATAATAATTAAATGCTCACTAATTAGTGTATAATAATGCTTATAATTGTAGTGTTACTTCTGTTTAAGTATTCAAGTTTAGTTGGAAAATACTTTTTAAGGCATTTATTATTTGTTATATTAATTTACAGGCTATTTTCTTTTCTGCCGACTTCCAAAAAGGAGATGGTACTCAATTCGACTGTATGTTTTTCTAATGTGTGTTACCTCATAACTTTTTACTGGGTGAACCGATTTGAATGATTCTTTTTTTATTTGAAAGCTGGTACTTCTCGTGTGGTACCATATGAATTTGATCATAGTCAGACCAATAGTTTTTGAGTTATTCTTAATAACTCATATTGAAGTTGGCTGTACAAAATTTTTAATTTTTAATTATTTAGATTGTGATTTGTTTTTTTTATTTCAAATTTTATAACTGTTCTTTTTAACTGGCAGTGAATATTATTTTAAATATGTCGTTATTTATTTTCTATATTATACAAATCTATAAAATATTAATAATTTATATGAAAATATATCTGATATACACATTATTACTCGTATAAGGACATACGAGACATAATCGATTGGATTTATTGCATGATAAACATTCGACGATATTCAGTGTTGCCATATACATGGGGAAAAATTCGTCAAAACATGCAAAATATGATATATGTTTATAGTTTAAATTTTGCTATGGGGTAAAAGCCTCATTGCTTCTCTGTAGCCACTCGCACTGGCGCCGTGGACAGTCGAAAAGTGAGTCAAGTCGGTCGCCTCTCCCGCAAAAAGAACTTTTGGTGTGCCAGCACTGTCTGGAAGGGGTTTGCCCAAATCCGCCCTATAGTTGGGGTACTTCATTGAGCTCACACTATCGAAAGTGTAGCTACCTCTGGTGTACGGATTCGAGTACCAGGTTGTCCTGTAAAAAGTTATCAAAGTAAAGACATGGTCATAGTTATATTTTGACAACGGTGTGGCGGCACTGTCGTCGCGCGACAAGTGAAATGCACTTAAGCCTAAATCGCGCTATCAAAGTTCTTAAGTTAACGCGCTATATATAGAACAGCTCCGAAATAACAAACGGAGCGTTGCCCGCTCCCCAGGCCGCACATCTTACATCTCCACTTTTCATTCCACGGCTAAAACGGCATCTTCTTCTGAACGCAGCCAAAAGGTTTTCAGAGTTTTTCGTACTCGCAAAACTAAATAATTTATATGAAAAATAATTTGCCATCTGTCTTTCCATTCGATTAGAATGTGGGTGTCTTCAAGATAAGTGTAAATAGGCTTTCGTTAAGTCGATAAGCTTCACCATCGTCAGCTGCATGGTGGCTGCTGGCTTAGAATAGTGAAGTAAAAACGTATCTGCTGTCGTAGTACACAATAATATAAATGGAAAATAAATGAATTATTGTCTTTAATATTTTATTAATAACTAGCGATTCAAACCGGCGTTGCACGGGTGATTTTCGGATCTCGATAACAGCGCCAGCTACCGGGTCCTAATGTGAATCCAAAAAATTTACGGACCCGTTCAAACACACGAAGACTCTAATAAAAATCGAACTGTTTTGAGTTTTAGCGAGACTAACGGACAGTAATTGATTTTTATATTATTAATAATTTATAATACGTAAGAGATGTGGCAATTGTAAATTCAACAAATAATATAAAATTATTTACTATATGTATATAATATGATAAATAATAATAACATGATACGACTCTTTAAATGCCTAGTATTTCGTCTGCGTAGGTGCGACCCTCTTATATATTTCTGTCAACATATAGCAGTGATTGCACTCGCTGTGTTCCAAACAATACAGCACATCCTTAGACACCCCAATTAGTATATTATGTTATAATCACACAATACATATGTACACTGATTTTTTAGTTAAATATGTTTATGCATTGATTATTTATTAAATTATTTATACTAATTCCGGAAGAATGTTGTGGTCACAGTACAAATGCACGAACGCACAAAGTCGCACACGTTGGTAAAGGTCATATGAGGGTATTGCTAGCCTAGTAGATATTCGCTCGCGTTCGAGACGAGTTAACGCCGCGCCACCGCCGCTTGACACAACTGTAGGTAGGTAGGTATTAGAAGAGAAAAGCCGACAATACACGATTGTTTACGTCAAAGAAACACCTACCTATGAACATTAAGCGATGTCAGAACTCCGTACATCGAGTTGTTTATTTAAGTCTAAACATTTGATTGCATCTTTCCATCACACTTTTTAGGCTTTGAACTGTTGACTCTAAAAATTTTGTTTATTGATTATGAAACAATGTCAATAGGCAATATTCGTTACAAAATGTTATGGATTTGCATAACATTTCAATCGTAATAATGAACTGCTAAAATGAGATGTGATACGACATCATAATTCAAAGACGGCGTGTTTAAAAGACGTGAATCAAGATACTGATAGCCTAAACTCTCATGCAACGTTGTGTTTTTAATACACTTTCAAAATGTTCACCACCTTGGTCAATACATTTTAGTGACCTTTTTCTTAATTGATATTTTAATTTAGAAAGCACTACAGTGTCATTTTTCACTATTCTAAAAGCGTTCACTATCCTATTTTTAGGCCCTCGGCACTTGTTGTCTTATTAAAATAAACTAATAATTTAATACGTTCCCACAAAAAAAAGTCAAAAGCCGGCAAATCAGCTGGTCTGGGAGGTCAATGGACAGGGCACAGGGCTGCCGCGACCCGCGACCGAGCGCTCTACGAACTCTGTATTTCTAAAAACTTTAACATGCTTGAAATAAGGTTCATTTTACTTTATTTTGTATTGAATGAGGGAATTTGTCAAATAAAACTGCAGTTTTAAAAGTCTTATTGCCTTGAGTTATGGTTCATTTCAGTTTATTTTGACTGTACAAGTTTAGTGTGACTGTAATTTCATCATCATCATCATCATTACAGCCCTTCACAAGTCCACTGCTGAACATAGGCCTCCCCCAAAGAATGCCACAAAGCACGGTCCTGAGCCACCTGCATCCGTCGACTTCCTGCATATCTTACCAGGTCGTCACTCCATCTAGTGGGGGGACGCCCTACACTTCGCCTGCCGGTACGAGGCTGCCACTCGAGAACCTTTCTTCCCCATCGGTTGTCGGTTCTTCGAGCTATATGGCCGGCCCATTGCCACTTCAGCTTACTAATCCGTTGGGCTATGTCGTTCACTCTAGTTCTACTGCGGATATCCTCATTTCTGAGTTTATCACGCAGAGAAACTCCGAGCATAGCCCTCTCCATAGCTCGCTGAGCGACCTTGAGCTTCCTCATCCGGCCAGCAGTGAAGGACCACGTCTCAGTTCCGTATGTCATCACTGGCAACACGCACTGGGTGTACAGTCTCGTTTTCAAGTTTTGAGGTATACCTGACAAGAAGATGTGCCGTAATTTCCCGAACGCTGCCCAACCGAGTTGAATCCGTCGATTGACCTCTCGGTCGAAGTTGGACTTACCTAGTCGGACTATTTGTCCCAGGTAAACATACTCGTCAACAACTTCGAGCTTAGTGTTCCCAACAACTCCCGGCATAGGTGTGACATGGACATTAAACATGATCTTTGTTTTGTCCATGTTCATCTTAAGACCTATACGTTGGGAAACACTATTGAGGTCATTGAGCATAGTGCTTAGGTCCTCCAGCGATTCTGCCATAAGGACTATATCGTCGGCAAATCGAAGGTGAGTGATGTACTCGCCATTGATGTTGATCCCGTATCCTTTCCAGTCCAGAAGCTTGAAAACATCTTCCAATGCAGCGGTAAAGAGTTTCGGGGATATGACGTCACCCTGTCTTACACCTCTCTGCAATTGGATAGGTTTCGTACTCTGGTTCTGTACTCGGATAGCCATCGTAGCCCTACTGTACAAGCACTTCAACACTTCGATATACCGACAGTCAACTTGGCATCGCTGAAGGGACTGCAGCACCGCCCAAATTTCGACGGAATCAAAGGCTTTCTCATAGTCCACATACGCCAGACATAGTGGCAAATTGTACTCCTCGGACTTCTGTACAATTTGCCGAAGGGTATGTATGTGGTCTATGGTGCTAAAGCCTTTTCGGAAACCGGCTTGTTCGGGAGGCTGGAAGTCGTCAAGTCTGCGCGCGAGACGATTCGTAATGACTCTCGAAAACAGCACGTAGACGCGGCTCAGAAGGGAAATCAGTCTGTAGTTCTTCAAGAGAGCGTTGTCGCCTTTCTTGAAGAACAAGACCACCGCACTTCTGCTCCACGCCTCCGGTGTAATGCCACCATGGAGGACGGAATTAAAGAGCTTCTGAAGGACTTCAAGTACCGGTTTTCCACCCGCTTTCAGAAGCTCCGCTGTAATTCCATCCTCGCCTGGGGCCTTGCCGTTTTTAAGGTGCTGGAGAGCCATTCTAATCTCGCTCAGACTGACGTCCGGGATATCATCGGAATAATGTCGGATAAGACTCGCTCTTGGATCGTTACTCACACTTGCGTGCGGCTCCAACGATGACGTGTACAGCTGCCCATAGAACCTCTCAATCTCACTCAAAATCTCAGGTGCCCCGGAAACGATGCTGCCACATTCTGTCTTCAGCTTTGACAGTTGGCGCTTTCTGGCAGACAGATCTCTGGCAAAGACTTTGGAGCCTCGGTTCCGCTCGATCGCTTCTTCTATACGAGCTGTATTGAATTTGCGTAAGTTCCGCCGCATGCATTTGGAGATCTGTCTGTTCAGTTGCCTGTATGCTGTTAAATCTGTTGAAGAATGTAGCTTCATCTCCCGTCTAACAGCCATGAGATTAAGAGTGTGATCGGAGAGTTTTTGTGTTCTTTTGCGGCGGGTCTTGCAGAACTTAGCTCCGACCGCATGGACAGTTTCCACGAGCTTGTCATTCAAATCGTCCACTTCATTGCAGTCTTCTAGGCACTGAAAACGGTTTTGTAACTCGAGCTGAAAGGTTTCGGGACTTTGGATTAGAGCACGAGGGGGACGGAGCGTTGACTTCATTAGACGAGACCTCTCCAACTTAACGTTTAGGTTCAGTGTGCCTCTAACCATTCGGTGATCGCTGCCGGTTTTCACCCTCGCGATCACTGAGACATCACTGAACAGTTGTCGTCTGGTCGTCATAATGAAGTCAATCTCATTTTTTGTCGAACCGTCGGGGCTCGACCAGGTCCACTTCCTGTGGGGCCGCTTCTGGAAGAAAGAGTTCATCATAAAGAGTCCCTCTTTCTCCATGAAGTCGGCCAGCTGCTGGCCCCTTGGGTTCCGTTGCCCTATTCCAAATTTCCCTACTTTCAGCTCACCGTTCTCTCTTGTGCCTAGTTTTGCATTGAAGTCTCCCATTAACACCGTATATTGGGTTTTGGAGGAATGCATGGCTCTAGAGATATCCTCATACATTTCCTCCACCTCCTGATCGGGGTGTGCCGAGGTTGGTGCGTAAACCTGTATGACCTTCAGCGAATACCGTTTGGTGATTCTGAGTATAAGGTACGCAACCCTCGTCGACACACTCTCAATCTTTACAACGTTGTTAACGAGAGACTTGTGGACGATAAATCCGACACCTCCTTGGGACAGATGGTCGCCCTCCCGGTAATAGAGCAAGTTGCCGGATTCGAGGATTACCGTGTCCTCCCCCTCTCTTCGGACTTCGGATAATCCTATAATATGCCAGCGTAACTTGTCTATCTCTTCTTCCAGCTCCACAATCTTCTCGTCAGTCCTCAGGGTGCGTGCGTTGTATGTTGCCAGGTCGAGTCGTCGTAGGTGGCAACCGAACCTCCACCGGAGATTCTTAGCACCCCCTGCCCCGCCGTTACCATGGTCGCCACTGTAGCCAGGAATAGCGGGGCCGCCGGGGACTGGGGGCCGTTTATTATTGTCATTGCTCATGGGGGGTATATTGCCATAGTTGCCACGCTTGGCGAGCGGGTTGGCAACCGCAGTTTTTTTATTGTTATTTTGGCTATTATTAGGAAGATGCTGCTGCCCATCTCCTGCCTGTTTCCCTTTGTCGCCTTTTACGACACCCATGGGAAGATATGGGGTAGTGGATATTCTTAACCGCCACTACACGGCACGGACTGTAATTTACGTAGTTTTAATTCTTTTTGGGATAAGAAATTACCTTTATTAAAAATAATAGAAATCGATTCAGTAAAGGATTCTGAACAAACTACTTTCAGGGTGCGTGCGTTAGTTATGTTACATGTTGTAGATTCAGTATACAGTCTGCTCACTAAGATAGTGTCGATACACCGGAGGTGAACTTATAATTTTACTTTGATTTTATTAATTTTACTGTGTTTGTTAAATACACGTTTTTCTATTCTGAGAATAAAGTTTGTAAAATATAAGTTTTCTATTAAAATAAAATACGAATATAAATAATAAACACAAATTAGGTAGCACAAAACCTTTCACTACGGCGCTTAGTTTTAAAATGCCTAATTCTCCTGCGGGTGTACGCTGCATGCGGAGACTTTTAATGTCGCGACGGCGCCTTTGACTAGTCGCGGCAGGTGCCGAGGCGGCGCGACACAGAGGTGACCGTATCTAAGCGAACAGACTGTAATCTTAGTCCTTAGAAATTTCAATGCATCTGTAGCCTGCTTTGTCTGAAGTTGGCTACCCGCAGCATCCAGCATCCAGTCCATGGACTGCAGTAGCCACTTACTTAGGTGGGCTGTAAGTTCATTATACCACTTCGTCGTCGTGTCGAAGTTAATACGAACAATAACCCACCTAAGCATTCCTGTCGGCTCGGGTATGGTCACGTTGGCTCCAAGGAATTTCTGGAGGAGTTCAACCGATTTCCTCTTCACAACTTCCTCTGGTATAGTTTCTACCTGCATTTTATAAATTATATTATTGTCTCTAATCATAAATTCGCGTGATTTTATAATCTGTCAATTAAATAGTTTAGTAATGATAAAAAAGTAAATTGAATGTAGTTACACTATATGGATCAATGGGGTTGGGTTTCTTGCTAGTTCTGTCCAGGACAGAGGTTTTTTTCAGAACCAGTGATAAATGTAAAAAATGACCTTCAATAAGAATTATTTGTAATCTAAATTGATATTTTTTTAGTTTTATTCTACTATATTCAATGTTTTTTGTTTATTTATGATAACCAGATATAACTATACTATACACAGAACATAGACTTAACACTAAACATTTGCTGTAAAGACAATCGGTCCGTGGGGTCCAAATGCGGTGAAGTTCCTAAAATAACTGTATCCGTATCTCTATAACATAATGCAGCTGTGACAAGGCATTCCATCGTAGTCCTCAGGGGTAACGCATCTGATATATGGTAGTATCTTGATTCTTAATCGAGGATTGATGCAGATGTCTATGGGCCACAGCATCCACTAACCATCGGGTGGACTGTGTGCTCGTTTGTCACCCTTATTCTAAAAACAGAGAGACTATCGGTCCGTATGGTCTACGTGCGATAAAGTTCCTAAACGAACTGTATCTGCGACTGATCGTTGCTGCTGGTGATAAGAGGGCTGGTTCTTTTCTCGCTCAAACGCTGTATAAGTATAGCCATTCAGCGAGGAAACAAACTGTATGATAATTTTTTTTACGTGGTAGAGCCATGCTGCAGCTATATCATGGGTGTATCACGAATGGGTCGGCTCGACCATGGAAAGACCACGAGAGCCTAAAATAGCTACTCGAAGCTGCTGTGTTTCGTACGGTGAGTTTAGAGAACCGGAGATCCTTTTTACTGGAAACTAGGCTTTTCACCTTAGTCTTCAGGGGTGACAAAGCATCTGCAATTTTAATTTCAAAATTCTTATGATCTTTTATATACATAACATTAAAATATCTGTATGTCTATTACATTTATTACCTAAAAACTAAATTTTTTTTAATAGTAAAAGGTTGACAAATGAGCACGCAGTCCCCCTAGTGGCAAGTGGGTGCTGTGGCCTATAGACATACATATATCTAACTTCGATTAACCCATTATAACCTAGCGGTGCCGTTTGGCACCCAATTCTAAACCCTTCATATTTTCGCATCATACGTACACCTCAAAGAGTGAAGCCAGGTGATTGACTGTCGATGCAATGCATAAACAAGATAACTAACAGTTTTAATACTTTATTTCAACTGATGCACTTGTTGAGACCAGCACGACCGTCAATAAATCAGTGTTGTGAAATTATTGGCAAAAATGGATTTATTTTTCAAGTAAGTATGTTATAATTTATTTATATTGAGTAATATATAGTTGAAAAACATTTTTTTTTATTCATATATATTTGTATGAATATAGTGTATTGCAATTTTATTCAGTTTTGTTTGCGTATTTGTTTTATCATACGCCAAAAGTTACGGGTGCCGCATGGCACCTCTAGGCCGATATCACAGTCTATAATTCCATACAGTCGTCCGACGAAGACGTCTAGACAGGGCAATCGTGCGGGGTGTGAAGGACGAGCCCGAGCTGCTGATGCCAATCGTATTAGTAGCTCGGGACGCGACTTTCAGGGTTAATGCGCGTTTGCTTTTATAATTTTTAAATTTTGTGTTGATACTTATAATTAAAATGGTTCATACGACGTGTGCTGTGAGAGATTGCAAGTCGTCATCTCACATAAATAAAGATCTGCGAAATCACCAAATCCCGCACACGGAAGAAAGGTAAATAATAATTATTATTATTTTTTACATTATGCATATTTTGTCATGTCATGCCAAATTGCCAACGTAAATAAATGGCGGTCGTAAAAAATAGGTACTAGTCGCTGGGCATTACTGTTTCGAAGTTTGATTTTTTTCTTCATCTAAATCGTGTGGTTGGACAGGCTAAGGTTTTAGACCATACTATAGTGCCTCGTTTTCGGTTTTTAGGTTTGTTGGGGTGCTAATTACGAAAATAGCATTTATTTTTAAATCCAAGATGGCGGTCATTTTTTAATATATGTATGATATGGATGTCAATTTCAAGGTATATTGGGGGGATGATTACGAAAATGGCATCCATTTTTATATCCAAGATGGCGGACATGTTTTTTAATAATATGATACGGGTATCAATTTCGAGGTTTCTTGTGGTGCTGATTACGAAAATGGAATTCATTTTTAAATCCAAGATGGCGGACAAAATTTTTTTAATGTTATGGATGTCAATTTCGAGGTTTCTTGGGGTGCCAATTACGAAAACGGCATCAATTTTCATATCCCAGATGGTGGATTTTTTTAATAATACAATATGGATGTCAATTTTAAGGTTTCTGGGGGTGATAATTATGAAAATTTATTAATAAGTATTGTATTTAAAATTTTCAGATGCAAATTATGGATCGAAGTTATTGGAAGACCTGATTTAGTTGGAAGAACTTGCGAAAGCCTAAAGAATCAATTATAAAATAAACTAATATTTCAATATCTGTGGTCATTGTAACGTTAATAATAAGATTTGATGTCTAGCTAAGAGTATAAGAACGATTTTATGTAGCGAAATTGAGGTATGACCACAGATCGAGAGTAGGGCACTTCCTCACGTTGTGAGGCGTGCAATTAACGTTTTGAGTACTTTCAGGAAAAAAACTAAGAACAAATTCTTACTTATTTTTTATATTAGTAATCATACTGTTGATGACGATGTAGATCTAAAATAAATAATGAAATTAGTACGGTGGTAGAGCCACGCAGCAGTTTTTGCTGTTGCATGTATGGGCCGGCTCGAGCCGGGTTGGTACCACGACCTCACAGAATACCGGAGTGAAGTAGAAGCTTTGCTTCTGCGTTTCGTCTGGTGAGTGCAGGTGGCCGGAGGCCCAATTCCCCCCCCCCCCCCCATCAACATGGTAGCGGAATTACACGAAGAACTACCCCAGGAGGGTACCAGCACCCCTGGAGAATCCCTCGCTGAGCATCCACGACCATGTTATTCCGATCCTGAGCGTGGGTGCTCAGGCTGCCCCGCGTATTCTCGGGGGGGGCAAAATTCCGCTCAAAAGCATTACTGCTAGGGGCAAACTGAGCAAGAACACCAAGGCGACCCCTGCCACGCTATCCGTGAATTTCTGCAACATCAGGGGACTTCACTCTAACCTAAACGCCGTCCACTACCATCTCGAGACGGCGAAGCCGGCCTTGCTCTTTCTGACCGAGACGCAGGTTTCTTCTCCGGCTGATATTTCGTATCTCTCCTACCCGGGGTACAAATTGGAGCATTCTTTTGTGCCTCGGGCTGGAGTTTGCGTGTATGTCAGAGAGGACATCTGTTCTCGACGCCTCGGCAGTCTTGAAGGTTCGGACCTGTCCATCCTTTGGCTACGCGTAGACAGCGACGACCATCCGCGCGTCTACGGGTGCCTCTATAGGTCCCATAGCGGTAATGCCGAAACAGACCGACTCATCGACCACGTCCAAATGGCTACAGATTTCTTGCTACAACAGGTCCCATCCGCAGAGATCGTGATCCTTGGCGATTTTAACGCCCACCATGCCGAATGGCTCGGTTCACGTCTAACCGATCATGCGGGGAGATCTGTTTATGACTTTGCCTTGGCATATGGTCTGACACAACTGGTTACTTCGCCTACGCGGATTCCAGATGTGGAGGATCATACACCTTCCCTGTTGGACCTTCTGCTGACCTCTCATCCGGACGGATATCAGGTTTCCGTCGATGCCCCTCTCGGCTCTTCGGACCATTGTCTGATCCGGAGTGTGGCGCCACTCACGCTCCCTTCGCAGTTGCGTTCTGCAGGTTGCCGCCGTGTTTGGCATTACAGGTCGGATTGGGATGGAATGCGGTCCTTCTTTGCATCCTACCCATGGGGGCGGGTTTGCTTCTCGCCGGATGATCCCAGCGCTGTTGCTGACTCTGTCACTGATGTGGTGCTACAGGGAATGGAACTATTTATTCCATCATCTGTGGTACCCATCGGAGGCAGATCTCAGCCTTGGTTTGGTCGCTCCTGTAAGACTGCATTACGCAGTAAGCAGGAGTGTTATCAAGCCTGGGCTGCGGCTTCGGCGACTCGGGATGTAAATACCAGCACACTTAAAAAGAAGTATAACTTCGCCTCCAGGTCCTTCAAAAGAGTTATTGCCAATAGGCAGAATACAGAATAGCACATAGGCAGAATTGGCGAGAAACTAGTTCGCCTTCCTTCGGGAACCCGTGCATTCTGGTCTCTCGCCAAGGCTGTCCAAGGGAATTTCTGTAAGCCATCACTACCATCTCTGCACAGGGCGGATGACTCACTGGCCCATGACGCAAAAGACAAAGCCGACCTTTTAGGCTCCCTTTTTGCGTCCAACTCGACTCTTGATGACGGGGGGAAAACACCGCCGACCATCCCGCGGTGTGAGTGCTCCATGCCGGATGTGCTGTTCTCACAGCGCTCGGTTCGCAAAGCACTGCTCGCCCTGGACATCCAGAAGTCGAGTGGGCCTGACGGAATCCCCCCAATTGTGCTGAGGACGTGTGCTCCGGAGTTGGCACCGGTCCTAACGCGTCTTTTCCGGTACTCCTACTCCCAAGGCGTAGTCCCAAATTCATGGAAGACAGCTTTTGTCCACCCGATCCCTAAAAAAGGCGACCGCTCAGACCCATCCAACTATAGGCCTATCGCGATCACCTCCTTGTTCTCCAAAATAATGGAATCCATTATTAACTGCCAACTCATCCGGTACCTTGAGGATCACCAGCTGATTAGTGACCGCCAATACGGTTTTCGTCGGGGTCGATCAGCTGGTGATCTTCTGGTCTACCTGACCCATAGATGGGCGGAGGCAGTAGAGTCCAAGGGGGAGGCGTTGGCCGTTAGTCTGGACATTGCGAAGGCCTTCGATCGGGTTTGGCACAAAGCGCTTCTTTCGAAGCTCCCTTCCTATGGGCTTCCCGAGAAATTGTGCAATTGGATCACCAGCTTCCTTGCAGATCGGAGCATCAAGGTCGTTGTAGACGGTGCATGCTCTGACTACAAGCCTATTAACGCTGGTGTTCCACAAGGCTGTGTGCTATCACCAACGCTGTTTCTTCTGCATATCAATGATATGTTGCTAACTGGTAACATTCATTGCTATGCGGATGACAGCACTGGTGATGCTCTATACACCGGCCGTGCCAATATTTCTCGGGAAAACGTCGCTGAGTACCGGAACAAACTTGTGTCTGAAGTCGAGTCTTTGCTGAACAAAGTCTCGGATTGGGGGCGACTAAATCTAGTCCAATTTAATCCTCAGAAGACACAAGTTTGCGCGTTTACCGCTAAAAAGAACCCCTTTGTCGTATCTCCTCAGTTTCAAGGCACTCCCCTTCTTGCCTCAGCCAGTATCGGTATCCTCGGAGTCGACATATCGAGTGACGTGCAGTTTCGTGGTCACTTGGAAGGAAAGGCCAAATTGGCCTCTAAAAAACTTGGCGTGCTCAGCAGAGCGGGACAGTATTTCATGCCGGCACACCGCCTGCTACTTTACAAGGCGCAAGTTCAGCCTCACTTGGAATACTGTTCCCATCTCTGGGCAGGGGCTCCCCAGTGCCAGCTCCTTCCACTTGACCGCATCCAACGCAGAGCGGCTCGAATTGTCGACGACCGAGCCCTTTCCGATCGGCTCGATTCATTGGCACTGCGAAGAGATGTTGCATCCCTTTGCATTTTCTTTCGCATCTACCATGGGGAGTGCTCTGAGGAATTGTTCGGATTAATCCCAGCCGCCAAATTTCACGAACGCACATCGCGGCAGAACTCCCGATACCATCCACACCATCTGGATGATTGGCGGTCCACCACTGTGCGATTTAGAAGATGTTTTCTTCCTCGCACGACCTCCTTGTGGAATCGATTACCATCAGCGATTTTTCCGGACCGATACGACTTAGGGACCTTCAAGAAAAGAGCGTACTCCTTCTTAAAAGGCCGGCAATGCATCTGCGATTCCCCTGATGTTGCAGTTGTTCATGGGCGGCGGTAGTCACTTACCATCAGGTGAGCCGCATGCTCGTTTGCCCCCTCTCCTATAAAAAAAAAAATAGTAAAAGTTGTTAATTTGTGACAATCCTAACCTCTATATGTTGTCTAGACGTCGTCGGCTTTTACCACGAGATCAAAGACGTCGTCCTACTGTATGTTTATTATACTGTGCCGATATCATGTCTTTTCAAATTACACGTGGCAATGTTTATTTTTTGATTATTCCGTGTGTAATAGTATTTATCTTGTTCACTACAGGAGGCACCAGCCTTACTATAAATAGATGAGAAGCTTGAATCGGGTTGCTTTATATTGAATGTCCAGAACCAATAATCGACTCTGATCAAGATGCGAGTGACAAAGAAGGGGGTGGTCTAATAAATAACCTCACAGATCGTCAACTTAATGCTACGTGTGAAGTCGCGTCTATGTCATTGTCACCACTTCCACACGCTCCTCTAGTCGTGAAAATACACGGGTGGTACCAGATGTATAACCGCCGAGACATATCGTACGCCGTTTGGTGGTTTGTGATCTTCACGAGGCCGCTCTTCTTCACGCCGCGGAAGAGGCAGTCAAAGTGGTGAAGAAGGTCACAAAAGTCTAACCTGCTCTAATTAATTTTATATTTCTTCATGTGATAATTCCGCAGCAGATGAACAGCATCGAAAAAATAAAAAATAAATGCTTCATGAAGATCAATTGATGAAAATTTGGTTTGGAAACCGTGCATGTTTCTTGAAGGAGATTTTAGTTCAGGCCGAGGAAAGACATCTACGGAAATCCTGAACGTATTTTTGGGGGAAAGTGTTTACAACCTTTTGGTAGATTAATCGCAAAAATATTCTTTATTTAGTTTATTTTTTACGTTTGTATGTAAACTACAAAACCTGGGGTAATAATATTATAACGATACATTATTTGATAAAATAAATACTCTTTTTTGTTAATTAACTCATACATTACTTTAAATCTACATAATTTTATCAATAAAGGGTAAAATTTGTTAGTTAATACATACCCAATACAAGGAATTTAAAGCCTACGAATGAGCCTTTTTTTTTTTTTTTTGCGGATGGAAAATCATCAAATGACGCCTTTCGCTCTGGGTGGAGCGGAAGGGAGTGTCAGACTTTTACTGACTAAAAACCATCCGTGTTCCTTCAGTGCCCTTACGTTCCGGAGCCGCGGTATCTCTTTCGAACAGCCCGCAGCCCCGGCAGGCGTCGGCCCTTGCGGGCCCCTTCACGCTGCTGACAGCTCTTTGAGGCGCGCGTGGAACAAAACGCGCCGTCGACACGGCCTGTCTTCGTTAGACGGACGGACGGCGAGCTACCTATTGCTCGCCGTCCACAGGCCCGCGCCTACGGTGGCCGGGGGCCACGACGTAGCCCCCGACGCCCGGGGCGTCTCCCGCGGCGGCCGGGAAGGAAAGCTGCTGCTCTCTCCTTCTCCCGCTCCGCCACCTCCTTCGCTAGCACCACTGCTTCGCAGAAGGTGGTGACGGCATCCCATTCCGTCTCGCTCCGGACCATGGCTTTGACCAGGGCCGGACGCGAGAGGTCGCCGCCGCCTATCGCCGCTACGAGGACACGGCGGTGCTCCGCCCAGGCGGGGCACACCTCCACGGTGTGCTCCACCGTGTCCTCCGGTCGATCCTCGCAGTGGGAGCACCCGGGCGTTTCCTCCCGCCCGATTCGGTGCAGGAACCTCCCGAACACACCGTGTCCGGTGAGGACCTGCGTCAGGTGGAAGGTGAGGACGCCGTGGCGTCTCTCAAGCCACTCCTCAAAGAGGGGTCTTATCGCCGCTATAGTGGCTTTGTACGAATGAGCCTAGCGGTGCCGTACGGCACCCATTGATTTTTTCAAAACTGATAAATTACTTTAATTTTTAATGATCAAAAATAACTTAAGGGACCTTAAATAACAACATAACAAAAAAATATCCAATTCTAAGCCCCTAAAATAATTCAGGTCATAATGGGCTAAGAATCAAGATACAGATCAAAATACAGATGCGTTGTCACCCCTGAGGACTAAGATGGAATGCCTCATTTCCAGTAAAAAGAGTCTCCGGTTCTCTACACTCAACATACGAAACACAACAGCATTAAGCTTCTATTTCACGCTGGTAATCTGCAAGAGTATTGTCTTTACTCAGTCAAACTGACACATTCCTACTACACTTTTCACGTTGCCATTCTGCAATCTTTCCCCTGTCGTTTATCGACCGATTGGATTCGTGCTACAATCATAATATAGTTGCACTGTGGCTTTTTCCATAGACAATGACAAGACTTAAGTATTATTCAAGACAATTTCATGCATGATAAAACCAAAATATACGCACTTATATCCCAGAACCAAAATAATATATAGTAAACCAAAAGCGTGTTAATATGAAGTCCAACCAACCCATTTGCCCGTCTCCCCACTAGTCCACAAGGTGAGCGTGTTACTGGACCCCATGGGAGTGCTAGCGGAGAATATCTTAGTAGTCCAGAAATCTTCTTTGGCCACTTTCCTCTTGTCTTCCCCCTTCCACATGAACACCAAAAAGGTGTGTGAAACCGGCCACCAAGGCTTGTCGAATGAGAAAATTATTTTATCCATTACACCCATTGTCACGCCGATGATGGCGTTTACTTTATCACGTGGCAGTGGTGGGGTGAACAGGGTCATGTGTCTGGAAGAGGGAGTAATGGTGATGAACGCACGAATGCATGCTCAAGTTATAATAAGAGTCGAAACTAGTTTTTACGGATTTTATAGAGTATATTAACTATATACTATATTTACCGTGTAGTGATGGTGTAAGAATATCCACTACATTATTTCGTCCCATGGGTGTCGTAAGAGGCGACAGAGGGAAACAAATCAGTAGCTGGGCAGCAGCGTCTGCCTAATAACGACTGAAAATTTAAAAAAAACTGTGGTTGCCAACGCGCTTGCCAAGCGTGGCAAGTATTACAAATGTCCTCTCCATGAGTCATTCTATGGGGGAGACCTATGTTCAGCAGTGGACTTTAATAGGCTGTAATGGATGGATGTATAGAAGATAATCTACCAGGAGTACAGGACCCACTGAGAGGTGAATTTCTTAAATTAACAATAACATTACAACTATGGCAAAATCCCCCCTATAAGACAATTTATGAGTCATTCAGCATTGGAATTTTAATAAGATTTATTTTGTATTCTCGAAAGCAGTGTCCTGTAAAGTACTCGAAATTTTGGGAATACAAAATAAGTTAATTTACGCGATCCGAAAATAGTATTTATATTATTATATAATATTAATTAGTTATACAATTCCACGTCTGACGTCGCCAAGTAGTCGATTGCTTGCTTGGCGGTGTGGTTCGAGGCGTTGTCGTGGTGAAGGAGGATGCGAGGTCGTTTCTCCCGAACTTTTTTCAAGACAAGTGGAAAACAATTGTTAATGTACTACTCCGCAGTAACTGTTTTTCGATCCTCTAAAACAATCGTTGCGTAATGACCTGTCCTTCCGAAAAACGAATCCACCATCTTTTTTCCCACGCTTCGACCTCTCTTCACTTTAGTTGGCAACTCCTCGGAAGGAAACACCTAGACAGCAGACTGTCTCTTAGTTTCAGGATCATAACAATAAATCCAGCTTTCGTTACCCATAAGTATGTCGAACACAGAATTTGAATTACCTCCGTTAAATCTTTGAACCATTTCACGACACCAATCAACACGACAGAGTTTTTGGGCCTCTGTCAAATTATGACGTATCCACCGGGCACAAAGTTTCCTGACCCCTAAATGTTCATAGAAGATTTTGTGCACTTGACACATACCGATGCCTAAGCTTGTCCAAATCTGCTAATAAGTCACTCTTTTGTCAGTCTCATACGCCGCACAAAACTGATGTTATATCTTCAATCGTCGCCGTGGAAGGCCGTCCCTCACGCAGATCATCGGTGAGATTAGTGCGACCACGTTTATACTCATTAAACAAGTTATAAACAGTGGCACGAGATGGAGCTTCATCGTGAAAGACCAATCGAAGTCTATGATAACTTTCTTGTTGACTTAAATGACATCGAAAGTCATAAAAAATCATTGTACGAAAATTTTCTCACGTTAAATTCATGCAGACGTGACACAGACAATTTCAATTTGCCGCCAAATCATAAAAAAATGACACATTAATAAAATACATACACCCTAATATTGGTAAAGGGTTCCATTTTCAAAATTTGAACTTATTTGTTTAGGCCAAATATGGGCCTTTGAAAACGGCATCCAATCGCGTTGACTCAGTGCATCACCCGATGGTGTCGAGGTGAGGTAACGTCTCCGGAGGGGGGCGGCCGTCTGCCGGCTTCCCGTGATTTCCGGCCGGTGGACAGACAGTACCTTGAGAGCAGCGGTGCGGTCGATTAGCGTATTTTGGTGACCGCTGCATATATTTCGCGCAACCAGTTTTTTTTTGGTTTTATGGTCTAGATTTTAGAATTCGCTATTGAATTTGTGGTTTCGTGAAGACCGCCTCGGATTAGTTTGTCTAAGTTGCAAGTTCGTGACAAGAGGCTTGTATTGTATTTGACTGATTAAAGTAATTTCGTTTGAAAGTAATTGCGTCAATTGTATAGTGATTGTGTGTTGAAGTGCTTTGTTGATGTTGATGGAAGTTGATGGATTGAAATAGTGTACAATAAAGTAACTGAAATAGTGAAATGAAGAAAGAAGTTGTCAATTAGTGACGTCCGCTGGAGTGATACAACATGGTGGGGCAGCATCGAACCAGGCCGCTGCACGGTCACCTCAGCTGGGCCAGGTCTTATAAATAAACACTACCAAACACCACTCACACGCACCTACACCTACCTACGACCTGACCGAGCCTTGGGGCGGTCTTAGCTTCGTAACCAGGTACGTACTATTTATTTACCTAGCCTTATCTCTATTGTGTAGGTCAATTGTCCATAGGCCGTTGGGCCCCGACCCCTGCTGCTCGTCGAATCTACACAGCTGTATGGGCCCCTGTAAGGTCGACTTTTGTTGGGGCAGCTAGGGGCGTGTACATTATTTTTCTATTATATCGTTTACAAGTGGCCAGTTCTAAAAACTTTCAGTGTCGCCCTTGTATGTAATCTGCAAATGAACTACCCACCATCAGTGATGGTCTGTAAGCTTATCTGATACTTGTTTTACGAAAAAATAAAATATAAACTTTATTAGAAATGTGGTAGAGCCATGTTGCAGATGGTATAATGGCAAGGCCATCGATCACTAATAAAAAACTAGATACACAATCCCATGCAAAAGTTCTCTAAAAACTGTCGCCAATTGTTTTGATGTAATTCTCTTTGAATAAAATATACATTAGTATAAATTCAACCTTAAATGCATTGCCTAAAGTTGTATTCACAATGCCACGTACAAATTAAAAGCGCACCCAAACGTTTGAGTGGGCGCTCAATCGGTAAGGACATTTTTTTTTCACTGATTTTGTATCTAGTTTTTTATTAGTGATCGATGAGCAAGATTTAGTTTATAATTGGGCCAAAGCCGAACTAATATAAATTTTCTTTCTTCATACAAGTTTTGCATGTACTTATTAGATACAATTATAAATTAAGATTTTTTTGTATACTTATTGATTTTGTGAACTCATCTTATTCAGAGATAAAGACCTCTTTCTTTCTTTCTCATCTAAATCACTAGTTGTTTTGCTTTAAAATATATTAATGATTTTTCATAGCATAATATGCAAAATTATGTTTTTTAATTTTATGGCTTCGCGGTGTTTATTTGTAAGTAATTGTGCAATTAGTAAAATTGTATTTTTCAATTTTGTATGTTAAATTGTAACAATTGTAAATCTTGTATATTAACTTGTAACAATTGTCGGTAGACCTTCTTTATATACATATAAAAAGACCACACTCTTACAGAATACCAACACAAAATATCAGCTTCATTCTGGTTTGATTGACCTACTTGCCAACTAACAAATTAGAACAATTCTTTATATACATTCATAAAACTGACCTTTCCTTCAAGACTCCAACAGATACGGTGACAATCACGTTGTTAGCTTTATACACTTTACCATCCTTGCAGGTCACTTCCACTGGTGTAGAGGGTTGCTGTGGCCAGACGATTTTAGTCACTTCTGTGTTAAGCTTAATGTCTAGATTCGCTAAGCCAGGTCCGCCTTTATATGTGTTCTGAAATGTCGATATTACCGTTATGATTTCTTATATTTACGCAAACACCACACATTGAATAAAACTTACGGATTTCACTAATAAACCCGACTAAACCCAAGAATACCATTACAAGTCTTCAAGACACGGTAAGCTCATTCTGAGTAGATCGGAGCAAAAGTAATAATAAAAAAGCTGAATGTACTACGGGTTAACTCTGACATTGGGATGTTAATCACCTCAGTCCCCCGTGACCATGGGTGTTGCAAAGTATCCGAAACGTCAGGAATTAAAAATAAGTAGAATTAAACGCGATAGAATCCGTAAAAGTAGTTTTATTCGATACTTAATGTAGCTTGCGACTTCGCCCGCATGGAATTTACTACGATTTCATGGGTTTTAATTTTTTTGCGCGGAACCCTAATTCTTTTTCTAAAATAAAAGTACTCTAAGTTACTCCTTATAACATCAGCTATTTATCAGTGAAAGTCCCGTCAAATCGGTCCAGCCGTTTCGGAGATTAGCCGGAACAAACAGACAGACTGACAAAAATTTTAAAGATTATTTTTTGTTATTAGTAGCATATATACTTTCACATGCATATAGTAAAAAGCTGTTATTTTAACATTACAAACAGACACTTCAATTTTATTTATTTGTATACATTACCGTTACCGTAACAGCTTATTAAAGTCCACTGCTGAACATAGGCCATAGCTTGCCACATCTATGGATATTTTCCATAGTTGCCACGCTTGGCAAGCGGGTTGGCAACCGCAGTTTTTTATTTGCAGTCGTGATTAGGAAGATGCTGCCCATTTCCTGTTTCAGATTCCCTCTGCCGCATATAACGACACTCACGTGACGACATTGGGTAGTGGATATTCTTACACCGCCGCTACACGGCTAATCTTGTATATAAAATATCATATACACATATATATATATATATATATATATATATATATATATATATATATATATATATATATATGTATATGACGGCACGTACACTATTGCACGTGCGGCGGCGTCGGTGTAGTTATTTTTCAAAGAGTAGCGAAATTTTAAACTTACGTTCATTAATATCTAAATGACATACCGTTATTGCAGTTTTCGAAAATACAAGTAAATAAGGCTTCTACTTTTATTTGAAATTATCCCAAATTGAACGTGATTTATGTGCATCAACGTATTTGCTTACCGATCGACCCTTACGAATGTGTGCGTGCGCGGTAAAATCAGTTAAGGCCTTAACAGTGGTTGAAATGCCTAAATCTAGGCATATTTAAGTAAAAAAATCTCAATAACTGTTCATTTAATCCACAAAGAAAAAATACAAGATAACAGAAGAAGATTTGGTTAATGTTTTTAATTTAACAAAATTGTATTTTTGTCAACCTCTTATTAGAAAAAAAATCCCCAAAGAGTACCTATCTTTGTCATATTTTGCAAAATTTCACCAAAACGGCATAAGCTTTTTAAATAGTTCTTACACTAAAAAAAAGGTCTTAAAAATATTAATATTTTTAATTGAGAGTTTTATTTTTATTACCCGTTTGATAAGAGAATATATCATTTTTCCCTGAAATTGAATATATTTACGCGAGCGCGCATGCTCCGTCGCCATGTAAGCTCTGTCACAGTCCGTTTTCGGACATCGTCGAGGGTGGACCGCACGTCGGTGTTGGAGCGACTTCGTTCAAATATATATTAGTTTTTTAAAAGTTTATACTCAATTATAAATATTTTTATGACTAGAAATACTTAATTTAGTTAATATCTGTACACTAGTACCTGTAAATATTATTTTCTAAATAAATGAATTTTTAAAGTGCCCAAAGAAGAAGAAATTTTTGTGGCGACGTTGATTAGTGAAATTGAAACATGCATTTTTATATAATTTAGATGTGGAACGACGAACATGCTCTCGTTACTTAGATTTTGATAGTTTTTAATACCTATGTAATTTTATTGTTACATATTTTTATTAATTAGTTGATAATGAATGTTATAATTATGTATTACAATAAAACGCTGTTTTTATAAGTATGACTTTATAAAATATTATTGGGGAGAGAAATAAAGATACAGATACTTACATTTAGGTACACTGTTATCAAATTAAATCAAACAATTTAAATAAAATAAAAGAATGGTGCTTACCTAAGTATAAATAACTATATAAAGACATTCTTGGGTTTATGGTTTTTTTTTTTATGTTAGACAAATTATCATCTAAAAAATGTAAAAATTTTAAATTGGAGAGGGGTTTCTCTACGTGATAAAGTTAGAAATGAAGGTATTTGCATTAGAATCGGAGTAACTGACATAGCTCAACGGAATATTACAGTGAAATGGCAATGGGCTAGCTATATAACTTGGAAAACATATAAAAAATAGGAAGAAAGGTCCTCGAGTGGCAACCTCGTACAGGTAAGCGAATTAGTACTCAACCTTTATTCCTCTTCACGTATTCTCATACACTTTTCTTCACACACACACACACACACACACACACACACACACACACACACACACACACACACACACACACACACACACGCACACACACACACACACGCACACGCACACGCGCGCATGCACGCACGCGCGCACGCACACACATACACACACACACACATACACACACACACACAAATAGGTCGCAAATAATACTTACCTAGTACTATTAGGCAAGAGTGAATAGGTTTTTGTTAATTCAGTGCAATTCACCATCTTAGACTACATAACCACTTACCGATGGGATTGTAGTTGCTTTACTACTTGCTGGGTAAAAATAGTAAAAAAAAATTGACCCTGTGAAAGTTTGTATTTAGATATAATTTTTCTAACCAACCATAAAAATATGATGAGAATATGTATATAAGTATAAAGGTTGCCTCACACGGAACAGTAATAATATAATATTATATCTTCCATTATCTCTGAAATCCGAGGTATGTTCATATTAAGAGGCTAAATAGAGCCACATTGAAATGCATGGGGATCGTTTTGTAATTTCACGTCATTATCGAAAAAAATTGTATGTATTTTAGGTGGCGGTTTGCAAAACACGATTCCACAAAAATTAACTCAATAGAAAATAATTGCAAAGTTGCTTCTAAAAATACTTCAATTTTCAATATCAATTTGTTTTACGTGGTAGAGCCATGCTACAGCTATATTTATTAGGTATAGTTGTAGCACGAATGGGTCGGCTCGACCGGGGAAGGGCCACGCTCTCACGGAATAACATGTAAAATAGCAGTTTAACCCTGCTGTGTTTCGTATGGTGAGTGTAGAGAACCGGAGAACCTTTTTACTGGAAACGAGGCATTACATCTTAGTCCTCACGGGTGACAACGCATCTACATTTTGATACGTAATCAAGAATAAATGCAGATGTGTATGGGCCGTAGCAACCACTTACCATCAGGTGGACTGTGTGCTCGTTTGTCACCCTTATTCTATTTAAAAAAAAAACTTTCTGAGATTTCAGTAAAATAATGTACAATTATGTCTCATGTTAATAAAGCTATTGGGCTATTTTGATTTGTAATAAAGTGATTTTACTTTATAGGTTAAATAATTTATTTACCTTTCTATATCAAGAACCGTTTTTCTGTCACTTCTATTGAATTTGACAGTGCTTGCTGAAATTTAGCATCTTTAGATGGATCAGAATCGCCCGCTGATCCGGCTGTTAGATATTGCAAAAATAATCGAAAATATTTATTTTTACTTTCATGCCCAAAACTACCTTGTCTTATTTTATTACGGTCAAATAATATTTATTAGGTTATTAAGCAAGTATTTTTGTAAATGTTTTGTATGTAAATGTAAATGTTTTCATTATTTTGTTATTCTATTGTTTACAGTTATTATCACGTCTTAGCTTTACACCAAGAATTACATTAGAAATTCTTGATGGGATGCGATGTAACGCGCATATATTATTTTTATCAAGAACTATAATATATATATTTGTTTTTTATTATAATGTATATATTTGTTTTTTTTTCCAGTAGAACAGTTAGAAAAGTTCAACAAAATCGCAAAAAGTTCAATGAATTAAAAAAAATATTATTTTCATTTTGATTAATTTAATTCGAGACTAAAATAAATGTGAAAGGGCTTTTATCTGCAATAATCATTTTCATCAAAAATAACATAGACTTATAAAAGTCATATACACGGTCAATCATACTGAAGATTATCAATTGTACTACAAAATATTTAAAAGACTATTTCCAGTATAATGACCCGAATATCATCATTAATGTTTGACTGGCACACTTAAAAGTTTTATCACATGGCTAAATGATTGACTTTTATATTATGATAAGGTCATGCTTTTCTATAAAAAATTGCAAGAAATTTTAATTCCCGGCCCTATTGGTTTGTTTTACTTTTTACTTAATTAGTGAAAAACAAAATGGACTGAACTAAAAGTTTACTTTCTTGTGTAAAAAGTGCTATTTAGAATTTTATGCAAATGGTAATTAAAGTTTCTATGTAAATAAGTGTAACATAGCGGGTATTACGAGTATATTCAATGGTAGCGGCCATCCGTATTGGCAAAGCCAGCATCATTTTCTGTACAGAAACCGGCAAAGTGTTGCTCAAGGCACTATAAACAAAGCAGCTGATAAAATGTTACACTCATAACTGTTAACAAAAACTGTTTTCGCAAATGGTCTTATAGATAATAATGACTATTCCGCCGTGTTAAGTGCAGGAGCTATTATTAGAAGGAGAAGAGGTAAAATTTTGTTTTAGAAATGCGCAATCAATATTGTTTTGTCTGCAATTGAGCATAAAATAAAAAATAACTTCAGCCAAAGAGCATAACTGGCATTATACTCAGGCCCATCAATTGGTATGGAAAAAAGTAATTTTACCAGGTTTCTAAATATTGTTTTAATAATAAATAATAATAAATAAATAATAATAAATTACAACTTAGTCTAATTTATCCTTATGCGTACAAAAAAAACAAATAATAAAATAGTGAGATGGCGTCAGTTTTTAAGAAGATATAACAAAAATAAACAAAAAAATAAATTACAATAAAGTTCAGTGTTTAATTGATTATATACCTTACTTACTTACTTACTTATCTTCACGCACAATCCCTGACGGGGTAGCCAGAGAGAACAGATCGCCAAGTGTCACGATCCTTACAAACCTTTCGCTTCTTTCAGATTCATTATCTTCTTCATGCATGCACGTCTAGGTATCCGAGTACTTTTGACCCTACCCTCTTCGAGCAATTTGCTCACATGGTCTTCGAAAGTTAGTCTCGGTCTACCTCGACACCTTTTAATATTAACTTTCGCGCTATATATTTTCTTCACCATTCGGTCTTCACTCATTCGCTCAACGTGCCCAAACCACCGAAGCACGCCCTTATCAATTTTTGTGATAAAGTCATCTTTCAAACCTGCCATATTGCGAATCTCTTCGTTTCGCTTTCGGTCGGCCATGGTAACGCCGCACATTTTACGAAGAGATCGCATCTCCACTGCATTTAACTTACTTTTATGCTTCTTCTGGCATACCCAGGTTTCGCTGCCATATAACAAAGTCGGTACCGATATACCGCTGACACTTAATCACGCTTTTTGAAACCACGCCAGTTGTAAACAATACTTGTGTGAAAAGACAAAATTTCTTTTCAAATTTACGCCGAGTTGTAAGTAGAAGGCCAAATAGGTCACGTGTCAATTTTAATTAAATATATTTTATATGAAGTGATCTGGACTACGTTTCATCAATTAACCATTGGTAAAAATTAAAACAGGAATTTTACGATTGTGTTTACAAAAAACATTATTAGTTGAACCTTGCAGCTTGTTCATTATTTTTATTATAAATACCTATAAATGTATATATTATTAATAAATAGTTCCCATAATATATTGGATTATTTTTTATTTTGCCCTATCTGCAATGTTCTAGGCTCTGTAGAAAATGTGGCGTATGACATGACTGACAATCTTTCGAACGTTTTATCTAGGTACAAAGATGTTTTACGTTTTCGTCGCCTCCACATGATATTTTTGTCAGCATAAGGTACCCTTCTATATCTGAAACGAATATAAATATTGCTACAAAGTAAAGTAATAGGCTATACAAGTCCCTCTACTGGGCACAGGACTCTTTTTTTATTTCTGAGAGGGTTTTAAAGCAAGGAAATGCCCGCCGTGCTTCCCCAATGCGTGTTGACGAAAATTGCAATTACAAATTTCATTTGTGCTGTCGGGGATCAAACCCGGGAAAATATTTACAGCGAACGCTTTGACCCAGATCTACTAATACGATACAAATAAATACGATTTAACATATATAATAAAAATTCTTACGTACTTGAAACTTGAACACTTGATAGCTCGTGATGCCTACCGGACAAAGCTACAGCACCACACCGTGCAATGTAATTGAAGATGCGTAACCGCGACATAGTTCTCAGTGATGCGCAAGCATAACAGGCAGTATGTCACTTATATAATTGTCATCTCTGCAGTCTATTAATCTTTGCACTTTTATAAGTAATACAGAACGTAGTTGCTAGACGGTGTTGACATCGGCTAAAATCTCTGCGATCGCCGTTTCGTCAAGGTCATTCAGGCTAGTTAAAGCCTTAAAATAATGCATTACCAAACATTTTGAATCAAAAAGGTAAAAAAGACAGAATGATTGAGATTTACATTTAATTAATTTTTCTTCACCGTTTGCCTATATTACTTACTTTGAACCTTCTCTGCAAATTTGGCCGGTCATTACAAATTACTCTGTATATCTTTATACAAAAAATTACGTGTCACATTGTTTGTCCGCGATGAACTCCCTAAACTATTGAACTGATTTCAATGAAATTTTTTACACTGTGTGCAGTTGGATCCAACTTGAGAGATAGGATACTTTTTATCCCCTTAAGTGACCTTCAATATTTTTTAAGTGCGAATTTAAGGATTTTTTCATAGGAAGGGTCGTCGGAAAGGGCAGAACAACGTCTGCGTGGTGAGCTAGTACATATATAAAGATTAAATATCCAGACAGTCGACGGAGAACACAGTTAAAGGTGAGAGATATCTAACACTGAGATTGTCGATTCATCTTGACAACAAGTGAGGCAAGAATGCTAGATACTCCCTACTATATTATATAATATTGGGTGGGCTTGATCGAGGTAGGACCACGCTCTCACAGGTGACTTAATGCTGCTGTGTTTCGTATGGTGAGCGTAGAAAACCGGAGACCCTTTTTATTGGAAACGAGTCATTCCATCTTAGTCCTCAGGAGTGACACTGCACCTGCATTTTGATTCTTAATCGAGGAATAAAGTATATGTCTATGAATCACAGCATCCACTTACCATCACGTGGACTATGTGTTCGTTTGCATCCCTTATTCTATAAAAAAAAACTATAAGTCCACGCCTAGTCGTGGGCTAATCATAGACTAGTGTATGAATAAAGAGGCAGTAGCTTTAAGGCACTTACCAGCAGCAGTTCGAAGAAGGTTTTGTATCCGTATCGGTGCCAACTCAAATGTTGGTCACCTTCTAGCTCCTTGTATTTTGTTGCTGTGCTGACGTCATTCCAGTTGCTTGAACCCACGTAGTTGTCTACGACAAGGTCCATGAGGGACAAAAACTCCTCGAGGAAATCTTTGTCTTCGAGGAGCTCCGGATGGGTCTCTTTTAAATGGTCTTTTAATCTAGAATTTTGGGGGTAGGTAAATATTTTGTGGTTTAGTATACGGATTTTGAAACCAAAAACTTTTACGCGGTGGAGCTATGCTGCAGCTGTATTATGGTTGTAGCACGAATGAGTGGGCTCGACCGGTGGAGCGTGAAATAGCAGCTTAATGCTGTGGTTTTTCGTATGGTGAGTGTATAGAACCAGAAACCCTTTTCAATAGTAATGAGGCATTCCATGTTAGTTATCAGGGCTGACAACGCATCTACATTTTTATTTTCGAGGGTAGATGTGTATATCTATGGGCCACAGTATCCACTTACCATCAGGTAGTCTGTGTGCTCACTTGTCACCCTTATGACTTATGACTATAAGAGTGAGAAAACAGATAGTGCACCTGCACACACACTCGTGCACTATAACCCTGTCCTTCACAAGATGCTTGTCTCCTTTGAGACCAGCCTCCGTGATTGAAATTCGGTCTGGAGGACAACAATTTGTAACTTTAAACTTGATGAAACTTTAAGCTTAACTTAATGCTAAGGTGACAAGAAACCGTACCATATAGTAACGGTGTAAGAATACCCACTACCCCATATTGTCCCATGTCGTGAGAGGCGACAGAAGGAAATTGAAACAAGTGATGGACGGCAGCATCTTCCTGAAAATAACTCAAAATAAAAAAAAATGCAGTTGTCAACCCGCCAGCCAAGCAAGGCAACTATAGCTAAATTGTTCAGCAGTGGACTTTAATAGGCTGTAATGGATGAATGGATGTCAAGAAATAGGTCTCAACTCCCCTAAATACTCACTTCCGAGTGATATAAGCGCCTAAAGAATCCTCTTTAGCGTTGGTGTCGTCTACCAAAGACAAGCAATACATTATCAGTCCGTTCAGCAGCTCGTGATTGTCTCTGGTCCCGTCAGACTGATACACGTCCACGGCTAGGTTCTGAGAGAGCACGGTGATGTTGTTCTGGATTGCGGTGTCGTACACCCTGCTGGGGTACTGACCGTGGATCCTTGAGTTGAGCAAGAAAAATATTTATTACTAGCTTTTATTTGCGATGCCGTCAGCATAGAACTTAAACAAAAATACCTGCAGTTATAGCGGTGTTCGGACAAGTAGTTTAATTTATCAATAACTTACTTGGTGGCAGAGTCACGCTGCAGCTATATTATAATTGTAGACCAAGGACTACGCTCTCACAGAATACCAGCATAAAATAGCAGCTTACTGTGACTGTGCTTAGTATAGTGAGTTTAGGGAACCGGAGACCCTTTTTACTGGAAACGAGGAATTCCATTTTAGTCCTCAGGGGTGACAACGCATCTGCATTTTTATTCTTTATTGGGAATAAATATAGATGTCTATGGGCCCAGTATCCACTTACCATCAGGTGGAGGTTCGTTTGTACTTCAGTTCTATAAAAAAGGAGTTAGCTTGCTTGCGTCTGTTAAGAGTGGACTTTCACGGGCCGATGGAGAAGAAGAAATAAGTATAAAGACCAGAATGAACTACTTACCATTCCGCACCGAGCTCGACAACACCATCACCGAAAGGCACCGTTTTGACACGACCGCCGATACGATCCTGAGCCTCCAAGCCCAGAACTTTCCTCCCTGCTCTAGCGAGAGTTGACGCTGCCGTCACTCCAGCAGACCCCAACCCTATCACTATGGTGTCATACTGCATTGTGGACCTGGAATAAAACGGTTCATTTAATTATTTTTTACATAATTATGTATAAACGTAACCACATAAATGAAAAAATTAGATTAGTTTAACAATTTGATGACAAGGTAGTGAAAGTTTTTTTTAGATATAATTATCGAAAGAATACGTAGTAAAGTTAAAGTAGTGACACAATCTAGTCTAGTGTTTGCAAAAAGACTATGGTATATGCCAAAAATATCTAATGGTTTCCGATAGATAGCAGCATAACTACCTCCTTTATTTTAATAGAATAAAGGTGACAAGCGAGCACACTGTTCACCTGATGGTGGATCCTGTGACCCATAGACATCTACATCTATCCTCGATTACGAATTAAAATGCAGATGCGTTGATAAGTTTAATAAGAAGCCCTCAGGACTAAGATGACATGCCTCGGACTAAGATGATACGAGTATGCCTCGGACTAAGATGATATGCCTCGGACTAAGATGATATGCCTCGGACTAAGATGATATGCCTCGGACTAAGATGATATGCCTCGGACTAAGATGATATGCCTCGGACTAAGATGATATGCCTTGGTCTAAGATGATATGCCTCGGACTAAGATGACATGCCTCGGACTAAGATGACATGCCTCGGACTAAGATGATATGCCTCGGACTAAGATGATATGCCTCGGACTAAGATGATATGTCTCGGACTAAGATGATATGCCTCGGACTAAGATGATATGCCTCGAGCTAAGATGACATGCCTCGTACTAAGATGATATGCCTCGGACTAAGATGATATGCCTCGGAATAAGATGATATGCCTCGGACTAAGATGATATGCCTCGGACTATGATGATATGCCTCGGAATAAGATGATATGCCTCGGACTAAGATGATATGTCTCGGAATAAGATGATATGCCTTGGACTAAGATGATATGCCTTGGACTAAGATGACATGCCTCGGACTAAGATGATATGCCTCGGAATAAGATGATATGCCTCGGACTAAGATGATATGCCTTGGACTAAGATGATATGCCTCGGACTAAGATGATATGCCTCGGACTAAGATGACATGCCTCGGACTAAGATGATACGCCTCGGACTAAGATGATACGCCTCGGAATAAGATGATATGCCTCGGACTAAGATGATATGCCTCGGACTATGATGATATGCCTCGGAATAAGATGATATGCCTCGGACTAAGATGATATGTCTCGGAATAAGATGATATGCCTTGGACTAAGATGATATGCCTTGGACTAAGATGACATGCCTCGGACTAAGATGATATGCCTCGGAATAAGATGATATGCCTCGGACTAAGATGATATGCCTTGGACTAAGATGATATGCCTCGGACTAAGATGATATGCCTCGGACTAAGATGATACGCCTCGGACTAAGATGATACGCCTCGGACTAAGATGACATGCCTCGGACTAAGATGATATGCACCGGACTAAGATGATATGCCTCGGTCCGTCGGTCAGTAATTCATTCTTGGGGCGATGTATACGCTTTTACAACAAAATTCCAGAAAATATACTAAATTTGACCTGCTCAAAGTTCAAAAACTTTATTAAACTGAGTTTGTCTGAGTTTTAAAAAGGGTTATTATAATATTAAACAATGTATGGATGATAATAACCCCTGGAAATGGGGTGATCGCTACCAAGCTATTTCTAATTTGTTGTGTTGTTAATTTGTGTAACATAGATGATTGTAAGCTGTTATTTAAAAAAAAGTCCCGCTGGGTTTTTTGCTGGCTCTTCCCAGGACAGAGGTTTTTTTTTCGAACCATTGGTAATTAAACAAAAGAGTGACTTTCAATAAGTATGATGTATAATCTATATTGAATAAAATAGTTTCTGTTTTTGTTTCCGTGGTTCTCTACACTCACCATACGAAACAAAGTTTTAAGCTGTTATTTCACTAACGGTATTGTAAGATGGTACTAATGGTAAAAATTGTAAGAGCGTAAGTAACCAACATAGCCCAAAGGATTAGTAAGCTGAAGTGGCAGTGGGCCGGCCATATAGCTCGAAGAATCGACAACCGATTGGTCCTTGCCCGGTTCTTAAGTGGCAACTTCGTACCGGTAAGCGAAGTTTAGAGCGTCCCAACACTAGATGGAGTGACGATCTGCTAAGATATGGAGGAAGTCCATGGATGCAGGTGGCTCAGGACCGTGCTTTGTTGCATTCCTTGGGGGAGGCCTATGTTCAGCAGTGGACTTGTCAAGGGCTATAATGACGATGATTATGATGATTGTGAAGGTCCTAGCCTAGTTGAACCGACCCATCAGTACTGCAACCATAATAACTACTACGTAGAAAAATGCCACGTTTACGCCAGGCATAGAATACCCAACCAGTCTACCAAGCGCGATCTTTGCATTTCATATTATGTAATAATTCTGTGGAAACGTCTGTCTTATTGTTAGCCTCGAGCACAGGCGCAGAGTAGCCAATCTCTCGGTATTCTATAGGATGCATTTCGGTGAGTGTGCGCAGGAATTACACGCTTTGATTCCTCTCTCTCCTTTCCACCATCGGACAACCAGGCGTTCGGCGGGTCTTCACGCCTTTGTTGTTGATATTCCACGCATTAGAACCAAAAGGTTTGCTTGGTCTTTTGTAATGCTTACAGCAAAGGAGTGGAATAATTTGGCGGCGTCTATCTTTCCGTCCGAATACAATCTGGGTGTCTTCAAGGGATGAGTGAATAGGCTTTTGTTACACTAAGACAGTGCGATTTACCATCTAGGGCTGCATCATCACTTACCACCGTGGGATTGTAGTCAAGCACTGGCTTATAATAAGTAAAAAAAAAACGTTTTTCATGTTAGGAAATATACAAAAATATTTGATTTATTTCCTACACATGATTCTCTATACTCACCGTACAAAACACAGCAGCATTAAGCTGTTATTTCACGCTGGTATTCTGTTAGAGCGTGATCCTTTCCCGGTCGAACCTACCTATTCGTACTGCAACGATAATAAAGCTGCAGCACGGATCTACCACGTACACAACGCAAAGTATAGATATATATACAGTTTATGAATAAAACAAAAATGAAAATAGTGAATCACGTAAAGCCGTATGTTCCGCGCCTAATCTCTCTCCGGTTGTGTCGATTTACCGTCCCATCGGTCTATGAAAGTGAGGGAATAGGGAGAGTACTGTGCTTGCGCACACACCCTTGCACTACAATCCTGTCCTGCGCCGGTGTCTAGTCTCCGTTGATTGGTCGCAGTGACCGAAATTCGGTCTGGAGGACATTAGTTTATAAAGTTCATTGTTTACTAAAAATATTATTTGTTAAAAACATCTTCGATCTAAAATTTTACTATTATCTAATTGAATCTATTAACTATAAAATCTATTACCGTTACAGCCTATTAAAGTCCACTGCTGAACACAGGCCTCACCCATAGATTGCCTCATACATACATTTGCCATAGTTTTAATGTTACTGTTAATTTAATAACTTCACCTCTCAGTGGATCATGCACTCCTGGTAGATTATCTTCTATACGGTAAGGTTAACCTATTAACTAACTGATAAATGCTAATTAAATATTATTTTAATTAAAAGAAATCGGTTTAATAGAATTTAGTTGCAATTGAAATAGTTTAAACACATTTTAGTAATACTTTTATTTATTACTAAGGAGAGCTATTATGCTACATGATGTGAGTCACTCCATCTTAGACGTCAGAGGTGACAACGCATCTAGTCTTCTATATTTGAAGTTGCCGGCGCGTGACTGCTGACTGCAGTGGCCACTTACTGTCAGGTGGATTGTAAGTTCACTTGTCATTTGTTTTATAATAAATCTGCATAAACAAAAACAAAAATCCGAAAATGTAATTTATTTAAATTCCAATATGAATGGGTACTGCATACACATTAAGTATATACTTAGAATAATATTCTAATTACCTATGTACTTTAAGCCGTTTAGCGTCGATCGACCGTTTAAAAGTTAAAGTGGACCTTATAAAACGTGTTACAAGGGCCACGACGGTGAAAGGTACAAATTTACAACAATTATTAATGTAAAAGCGTTCATAGCGATGCGTTACGTAATTACAATTACAAACGATTATTATGATATGTAATTATGTAATATTGTATAATTTTTAGTTACGCAATTCATTTTAATTTACAATCCGGCGTATGGCTACACACATGACATTCGTCGTGGTATTTGACAGTAAACAAGCTTAGTCGTGACGTTGTTGGATTTCAGTAACGCTTTCAATACAGTTGACTTCAACATATTGTTAAGTTAGTTGTGTCCCCTTAACCTATCTCCATCAGTAATTGACTGGTTTGAAAGCTATTTTTATGTTTATCGGTGGTGTATTCGCGTTTATGATATTCGTTAACAGCAGTGTGAAATATCTGCTGACGTCCCGCAGGGTAGCTTGTCGTCACCATTACTTTACTACTCTTTTCTATTTTCATTAATTCTCATAAAATATCTTCTCTCTACAACATGTATGCAAACGATATCTAAATTTATACCCAACCAACTCTTGAGAATTTGCCGACAGCGATCGCCACTATAAATAATGATTTAAATCTTATTTTCGAGTGGAGTAAATATTATTGTCCTTAATGTCAATCCCAAAAAGTCTCACACAATCATTATATTGGCAGCTGAAGTTTTATCTTAAGAATAGACTGGTTCTCCTTACATATTTAATGCAATGGAGTTGTAACCCCTTATTGCGATAATGTTAATAACCTGGGAATTTATTTTGACATCACCTTAAGTTGAACAAGCCAATTTAATGAAGTTAATAGGAAAACTTTGGTCACTATCAGTTCTTTGCGCCCCTCGATTATTTCATCCCATTCGTACAAATTATGCTCGCAGAGACTCCTCTCCTTCCAATTCTTAATTATGCTGACGCAAGCTATGTAGACATAATGTGGACCAATTAAATTTATTAATTTCACTCTCGTCTCAAGTAGTTTTCGGAACTTGCCCACCCTTCATATTCTG